AGACCCCTTAGCGAAAAATGCTAACGGACATTGGCACAGAACTCAAGATAAAAGTACCTTATTACTTATCGTAGCTGCACATACAAGATATCCGATTAAAACTGAGGTTCCACAGATTATTTAGGTATATAGTATCATCACTGAGTGATCCGAATTTGCGACAGGGAAGCAAAGACAGACATCACAACACGTACCTTTACGTAGCTTCTAGAGAGATCGTCTCACCGTAGCTGTTAATCTGATCAAAAGACGTGTTCAATGGCATTAAAACGAGAAAAAACGCGGCTGAATCGGTTAATCCATACGTTGATAACGTTTCTGGGCAATAATTTGAATTATTTATAATCCATAATTCCATTTTTATGTAAAAATCGCAGAGCAAAAGTTAGCTGCTAATGGTAGCCACCAGAGTGGCTGCTGCTTCCGGTCTCGGCATTGCAGCAGCCTAACACACACAAATGACCAAATAAGGACTATGTGGGAGTTCCCCTCGATTCCATTGGCTCTGACGGTTAGAAAGAGATGTCACATGTCAAAAGCCAGCAGGGGGAGCCAGAGATATGAAAAATCCACCCAAATGGCCCCAGAAGAGGTTTTTTTTGTGCTAAATCTGTCTAAAAAGGTCAAATATCACTTTTTTTGCATCAATCTGGATACAGGGTACTTATTATATGTTGTACTTTGGATTTCCTAAAGCTTTTAGTCTACTAACCCATCATCCAAGGTTAGTTTTCACTATAAGTACAAAATATTTTTTGGACAGACACTATAATTTACAGTTTTTTACCATGTTCAATCTGAATTTTCTTTAAAAAAAAAAACATCTATATTGAATCTGACTCTTCTACATCCAACTTACAGGTTTATCATTACTTTGAGAATAAAGATTATTAATTTAACCCTTTTAGAAGGGAAGATATGGTCATTTGTTCTGGGAATGTCATTTTTGAGCCTGAAACCTGAAAAACAGGCTCGGGGTTTAACAACTTGCTTCATTACAGTATGATGTTTATTTTGTAAATTATTGTTCCATTTAGAGTAAAATAGATTTGCTTTAAGGGCGGGGCCACCTTGTTAGTGACAAGCTGCTACTTTGACGTTGTTTATGTAACTTTAAGCTTTTTTATAGTTTATTTTAACATTTTGGTTGCTAAAAGTGTGTTATTCAGTATTTAGTCAAACTTAACTTCTGTCACTATTGGTCAAAACAATACAGATGACTACATGCCAAACTTGAGGCTTCATAAAACCAATGGGTTTTTGGCTACTTTTACTTCTTGTATACAGTCCAAATTATTCCAAATAGATTTGATTTTCCTACAAACTTGTCTGACAGACTGCATTACGTATAATTACGACTAACGTAATATTTGGTAGTCTCTCAGCAGTTTAGCTTTTATTAAATGAATACTTCACCAAGTCACCTGTGAACAATAAGGTGTGTTGTTCACACAATTAGTTGTTTACACACTTGGTTATTTATTCATTCAGTTCATTTGTTTGAGTCCGAACGTATTCTGGTTTCATGGGAGGATTTGATGCTGGATTCATTTCAGATCCTATAAAGGCTATGAAACAATAAATGACCCCTGATGTTTTATGTGTTTCCCTGTTTCTAAACAGCTGTGCAAACCCTTCTGAAAACACTATTGTAATTGAGAGCAACGGACAGGGACTGACCAACTACTTCTCCTTCAACATGTTCCAGTTCAACGGGAACTCTAAAGACATTTACCTGCACTGCAGGATGAACCTGTGTCTCAAAAGTGACAATTCCTGCACCCGGGTACGTTCACAAAAAGACTCAGAGACACAAATACACAGAAGCTAACTCTTCGTCCTGCGTCACACTAGCACATCAGTTTCACATCAGCATTTTACTTAAAGCTTTTTATACTCTAGAAATTAGGATTTTTGCATGAAACAAATCCTTTATAAAACACAATGTTTTTAGAGTTTATAAAATACGATATTTTGTTATACACAAACCAACAGTTTCTACATCAAGAGCTTTTTGAAAGATTAAGAAAGCATCTGTTATGAATCTATAAACATTTAAGTAATTTTCTACTTTTTTTTAAAAGTCATTTTGCATGTTTTGGGTGTATTTATATTATGTATTTCTTATTCTGATCGAATCTCTCTATCTGCATTGGGTAGTTACATGTATGACTTGAACAATACGTATATCTAATCATACATGATAGATAATTATGGTTCAAGTAATACATGTAACGTGTTCAATACAGGGCTATAAGGATCTCAATAAATCTTCCAACTATGGATGCTGGTGATAAAGTCCGGCTTAAATTTGTTGTTCAAGTTCTTCCACAACAAAAAAAAAAATATATAGAGCTTGTTTTGTGCCAGTCAATAATCATATTAAACCAGACAAGGTTGTTCCCTAAAATCAGAGGACACTTTCTAATAAAATATCATAGTTTGCTTTTGCAGAAAAACAGACCTATCTAAACACTACGGCAGGTTTTCTGAGGTCCACCAGAAATAACATTCATTAAAAATGTCAGATTAAAATGCATAATGAACACCAAAAAAATCATTTAAATATTACACTATGCTGCACCTTCATCCCTCTGATGCTTTGGTTTGTAGTCCACATATATCTGGACCAGTGTTGTTTCTAAAGCCTGGATTGATTGAACCCTTAAACTTCCTCTTTCAACAGAGTTGCGGCCAAGGTGCTAGGAGACGCAGATCCTACAGAAATAAACTTGAAAGTGAAACCGATTCAATCGTCATCATGGCCTGGGGTACTTAGGTAAGACACATGAACTACTAATGAGCACTAGCGACGATGTAGTCGCACTAATACCTCCACTAAAAACCTTAAAAACAACAAGGAATCACCACCTGCCTTGAATGGCTGTTATCACTTGTGTTTTGGAGCATATATTACAAGGGTTTGGCCCTACTCTTATACCAGTTGGTTCAGTAGGCCTTTATCATCCATTCCTAAGCAGGATGCTGCAGGAAGGTTCTACATTTTTAGGCGGTGACTTGTAGTTATGAGTGGAGCTTATATGGAAGTCAGGTGGCGAATTATATGCTTTCAGGTGGTGAATGATATACTTTGTCAAATTGTTGACTTTATCAAATGTTTTACACTTTTTACTGCTTACCTTACAATTTGTGAGTAGAAAAGAAACGTTTCCCTGCCGTGACAACTGCTTTATTCTCAGGTTGGAGACTCAGACCTGTCGACAAGGTGAAGACCTCCAGATAAAGAGTCTGGACACATGAATATCTTTGTGAACATCATCTCCTGAAAAGATTAAGCTCAGTTATGATTGCTGTTGAGCCACATACCACAAAGAAATGCCATTACCAAAGCAAAATCCTCTTAAATGTGAGCATTACATGAGAACCCGTAAGAGTGCATCAACATACCTGAGCGATTCTTTAACGGAGAATAAATAGTTATTTTGTGAAAGTTACATTCTTGATATGACATAAAAAATAAACAAACTTTTGACACTCCCTCTAGCATCTCTCAGTTTTGTTGCCTAACATATACATATATTAATGCTGTCAAAATTATCGCGGCAAGCGATAATTAATTTTTTGAATAAATTGCGTTAAAAAAAAATATTTAACGCATGTTCAGAATCATACATCCCACCAGTGGCAGCGTCCAAGAAATGGCTTAGTCCCACCATGAAAAATGATGTTAAAGTAAGCAAAATAAAGTCCGCCAACTGGCGCCGAGAATTACAGACAGCAATTAGTAAGATTGATTTCAGTAGCCACTTGTCTGAAAATACCGAAGACCAGAAACGGTTTTGAAAACTTTTGTCCCGTAGTGGTCGTCTTCTCAATAGAACATCGTTGATAAGGTCTTCTGTCCAATCAGAATTAAGATAACGGCGTGGTGTTGTTGCAGGAAGTCCCGACGGAGGATACTTTTGCTGTAGTACAGGGGTGCACATAACTGGTACGCAGGTTATGTGCGTAATCTGAAATGCGTACCGTCACTTGTGTCACAAAGCTATCAGACACACATCAGTTCAGCTTTACAACTCTTTATATTGATCTTATTTGTTCACATATAGCTGCCTGTGATAGGATATGTTCCTATGTTTGATCAGGACGAGTGTTATAAGATCCTAGTTTAAGATTTACAGTAAACACTGAGCTCAGACTCGGGCCTTAACGGCATGCTGTTCTGCTGTATCACTTTCATTATGGTGTCCTCCTTTCCTTGCATACAAAAAGGGGAATATGGGTTAAAGACAAACACGAGTTTGATTGTAGAGTGATAGTGCACATCAAATATTGATTTATAATTGAGGCAACGATCCTGCACTGTAAATACAGTGGCTAAAATCCAAATTACAATGTCAATGTGTCACACCTTTGATATAATTATTTTATTTAAAAATATATATAAATACAGAAGAAAATTCATTTAAAATGCTGAGAAGTAATTTTAGTTATATTTTTTCCTTTTTTTTATATTTAAGGATTCATTACAGTGTTATTCTTTTTTATGGCACTCCATAATTAATTCAGAAGGAAAACTTTCTGATCTAAATCAGGCACAGGTTTATAAGAGGAACATGTTGCTCCAACATTGAAATTGAGCTTCAGCACACAATCTAAGTAAAAAAAAATACAAAATTAAAACTTTAATCTTTGTTTATTAAAACACTTTTTTAGGTGTATTAAAAACAACACAGTTCATCACAAGTATTTGCAAAGATCGCAATTTACTCTCAATTTTACTGAAACATTTTTATTCAAATAGTTTTCATAACAACAGGCTTTCTAGATTTTGTATTTAAATGTAAATATACATGATGAGGAGGGTTATTTTGCAGATGCATTTATTGTAGAGGAGATATTGTTGATTTTGAAGGCGATAACAAGGCAAAACAGTTGATACATTTACCTACTGGAGATTGAAGAGTGGTTTTCATACCATTTTACTTGTAATCCAGGACCGCTCTTGGGCTTTTAATTGTTTCAAAAAATAAAAATAATACACCTCTTGTCCCTCACCCCTCGTAGATAAAGTGCTGCAGACAAACATACTGATGCAATTCAACGTCCATCTGAATGAACATCGCCTAACCTGAAGACAGAACTTTGTACAAACAGATCATCTGGTATATATAGAGGATATTATCACTTATATCTTAAAAGAAAACATTCATATTTCCATAGGCACAAGGATCCATATGGGACGATAAAATAATCTCAGCTCTGTGACAACACATAATAAAATACAACAGAATATAAACAGATGCAATAAAAGACTTAGAATACCAGGAATCAGCACTTTAAGGGTCGGAAATTAAGCCTCAATGAAAGTCAAATGAAGGTAAAAGGTTACAATGCTGTCAGCAGAGATGATTAACAAAAACAATTTGCACCGACAGTGAAGATCAAATGATCAAATCAAACGATAACAAGGACCGATCTCCTTCCTTCAGGTTATTTCTATAAAGACATAAATAACATCCACCTATAGCTTTTATTGGTGATAATCAAATAAATCAATACTGATAAACCAATCAGGCTTTTCCTAAATCAACATTTTCCAAACCCAATTTTGACCGATAGCTTGATTACTTATTTCAAAATGTGTTGCATTAGTTAATAATATGATATTCAAATCCAAATTCTGCAGGATGAGCAAAGATGCTGCTTGAATCCCAATTTGAAGTTGGGTTATTCTTTTTATTACAACTTTAAAAAACCACATGACTATGAAGTGATAAAGTCAAACTAAACGTCAGTAAATATTGACTGTGGTGGATTAGTCTCTGCAAGTTGATTTTGGATTGATTACTCAAACATGAAGGAAGGAAATCTACAGAATGATGGATCATTTGGGATAAGGTCAACAGTGACGTCAAGTTAATGGACAAGCAGCAGTATGGGTCAGAAATGTGAAATAGTAGGAATTTATTGTCATGCAAAGAGGCAAAATAATATAAAAATATGACACATTGTTAGTGATCCGGGTGAAGAAAAAGTATTTAAGATTAATTTCAGACCCTAAAAACAATCACAGCTGTGGATCCATGTTTCTCTGACCGAGCAGACAGACAGAGCAGATGTCTGACATGTATCTCTGTCTTTCACACCAAAAAGTGCAAGTTTGACATTGTGTAGAGCAAAGCCATTATTTCCAAAGGAGGGAGCAGCTGCACAAGCAATAGTAGTGGCACACACTACCTTTATACTCTGCCACGTTATCGGCCAGACATCTCTTAGTGACGTGTGGCAGATGTTACAGTATGATGGCGATCTCTTTCTTAGGAGCTGAACAGAATGATGTGGGGTTTCTTAATTTAGAAGTACAAACACCGCAGAGCATCCATGTCATGGTTTTAACAAAGATGCTCTCACTGTAAGAATCTCAAAACGCAACAAAGTCAAACAAATCTCTCTCTCTCATTCAGATCAAACAAAACCAGGTGTGATCCCAGCTTGACTTTCAGACAGACACACTGCAGCCAACATCCTTGTATCAAGTCATTTCTGTCTGTAACTTGAGTTTTATACTCCTAAAACAAGTGGAAATGCATCTGGGCTTTCATTTCCCACTTGCTTCTGATGAGAATCATCTTTTATGTAAATATTTTTTTCTCACTTCAAATCCAGCGAACTCCCTTATAAACATGCATTTTTAGATAAATCTAAAATAGAGAAGTTGAATATTTTTGCACTAAAAGGTTTTTTTCCCCCATTTATTTTAGGAAAATAAAAAATATTTAAAGACAAGAATTACATTTAGCTTTGCAGCCATACGGACTTCCTGCAGTGAGACAGTCTACTCGAATTTGGATATTTTGAGATGACTGCAAACGAGGAAAGGTTTGGACCAACTTTCTTGTGTTTGGACCAGATACAGAAGCAGTGCAGCGCCACAGTGTCAGAGCACTGATTTAGAGTTTCGACTCCATGAAATTCATGTCATGATCAGCGGGATGAAGCATCCATAGTGGTTCCAAAATGTTCAAATCCCACCACTTTTACAAGCAGAAAAGAAGCAGCAGCAAATACCCAACTACACCCAGTTTACCAGCGTTTTTATCTGGAGCCCGGTGTCTCCTCATGAGAATGCAGTCAAAGTGGACAAACCTTCAGATGATTGTTCAGTTCCTAAAAGGACTCTACTCTCTCCCACCACAGATTTTAAAATGTAAAAGCTGAAAAAAGCAGGAGTAGCGGTAAAAACAAAACTGAATCACATGGACGGCAGTGCAGAACCAGGGGGTCGGCGGCGTCGTGGTGGCGGGGGTCTCCTGGTGGAGGACAGGAGGTGGAGGCGGGGGGGGTCAGGTAATGGGTTTGCTGTGGTCGACGGTCTCGGACTTCTTCAGTTTTCCCTTACTGAAGCCCTGGATGGAGCTTAGCAAGGCGGTGCGACCTCCTCCCGCTCCATCAGAGGAGAGAGGAGGAGGACGAGAGGAGGGAGAGTCCAGTGCAGGAGGGGGAGGAGGAGGAGGAGGCGGGGGAGGAACAGGCAGGGCTCCTGGATAAAGGAGAGAACGAAGGGAGAGAGCGTGAGAAAACAAAACGATTAGCTTCTTACATTTAGTTTCCCCAGAGGCTGGTTACACAGAGATCAAATAAACTGGTTTAAACTGGTCTGGTTTATCTGAAAAGTAAAGCCAATGTGAAAGTGGCTTTAACCTGCTTTCTCTATAATGTCCAGCAGGGGGTGACTCCAAAGGTTGCATAAAGAAGTCTGAATGTATACAAGTCTATGAAATAATGACCTGACTTCTTATTTGCTATTTTATCTCAGTTCATGGTTTGTGATAAAATAACGTTAGCATTTAATCTGTGGTTAGCTAAAGAAATGGTAGGCTTCAACATTACAGGCAGTGGTTTTTAACCAGCGTAAGGTGCTCCGTCTGATCGGTGATGAAAAAAATGGGTATTTTAAAACCTCAAAACCCTAACATTAGCTGATATCGGTTTACATTTGGGCAAAGTTGAAACAAAAGTATTCTGAATCAGCCATTTCCAAATTATTTTTGCAACATACTTGTGATTTTACAGACAAGTTTCACTGTATTACTCTGATTCTGATTCTCAGACTAGCTCTGGAGATAGGGATATCCTCAGAAAGTCACATGTGCGTTTTAGAGTTTGAAAACACCTGAGATATTTTATGGCTTCTAACCCATTTATGAAGCATTAGTAAAAATGTGTATTGATCATTAAATAGAACCAATGAACCCTTTATAAAGACCAAATACAAAGTGGTAATTGTTATTTGAGTACATTTGTGTAACCAGCGTCTGCAGATTCCAGGCTGAATTCAATCCACCATCAGTTTAAATCCAACCTTCAGTTCAGGTAATCCAACATGTTTTGACTCTACAAACAGATGCTGGTCAGTTACACAAAAATATTGTTCAAGAAAATCGAGTCAAAAGGCCCTGTGGTTCCTGAACTAATACTCTAAGTTATGTTCAAGTTCCCAGTTGCAGAGGCTTCATCTTTCTTGTGGGGTACATTCATTCTAAAACGGCAGTTCCCAGTGGACCACTATGGGACCCTAATATGCCCCAGTTCATTGGTAAACAAACAGTTACAATTAATTAGCTTTCCAGCTCTGAAGCTACAATGTCTGAGTGTTTTGAACTTGGTTTATCTTCTGGAACAAAGCTAAATTATCTAGCTGGCTAGTATCAGTGAGTACATTATACTACAAAAAACAGAGACTTACTTGACTTGCAAAATTATCTGTGAATTGACAAACATATGTTTTCATGCCACAATTCAAACGCTATGTAAAAATGATTGTTCTTTGACGAGTTGCCATAACTACCGCACATATGTTCTTAAAAATAATATCCCATGAAGGAACACCAGAAAGGGGAGGAATGCCTCTCTATGGAGACTAAATTAAATCATAGTTTTTGGAATATTCAGATTAAAGCTAAACTTGAATTCATCCAACAAGGCTCAACTTCACCTCACCGTCACGGCAACCGTCTGAGGCCTTCTTATTGGATGATTCTTTCATAAATATTTTTTTCTAAACTAGTCGTGGCTTTACATCCTTGTTGTCCTAAAGTAGCTACTGCCCCAGTCTTTTTCTTGCTTTGATTAACACAGTGCACTGCTGGTAAATTGAACATACATTTGGTACATCCTCCTACACGTATGCCTTTTTATAACCCAAACTGAAACAGAACCCAGGGATTACAGGGAAGAAAAAAGCAAATCAAAAGAGCGCTCCAGCATGTAGAGGTGAAGCAGAGCCTGAAGCTGCGTCTTAAGTCCACAGACCCCACCTTCCTGTTTGACTAAACAGTGAATTATCTGTGGCGTATTGAAAGGACATCTGTCAGTCAGACAGATGCTAACCACACCTGGAGAAACTCGCCACTGCAGGAGACAATAACATGTTGTAAGATCATATTTTTAGTGGAATATACGTTGTTTGGCTGTGGTGAAGAGCGAAAACATAACAAATAGTTAAAATATTGTAGACCCACTAATGCCTGCAGGGGCAGATTATCTCCAAGCTGACTTTCATTAAATATAGCAGCAACAGTGACCTTTAGTGTTGTTTTTTCCCACGTAATATTCAGACGATTCTTCTTGCAGTGAGACCTCTGTGATCAGATGTGTCAACATGTCATAATTCCTCTGATTTAATATGAAATCTGGCCACAGCTCTGAGCTCACATGCTGGAAGAGTTTCAATAGACTAATACAGGCGGTGTCCTCAGTACACGCCACCATGGAGGTTTGAAAATGTATTCAAACATTTTAAATGATCTGCATTATGTTTTAAATGTCTGCAAGTTAAGTAGTCCCGTATTTATCAAGCGTCTCTTCAAAGTCGTGCAACAATCTTTGAGTGAGGGTTTTTGTGTTTGGGCAAATTGACCAATACCCAAGAATGCATATGCAATATTATAATGCGAAAATAGATGCATAGCTTTGCCACAACCATTTACATAGTAAGCTGTAACACAGTCCCATACCCAAAATAAATACATACAGGAAGTTTGACTCTGAGCTGTGGGAAATATTTAGTGTATATCTTGCAGTATTTCACATACAGTGATAATGATAGAGAACATTGAATGTTATGTCCAATTCCTGTTAGAACTAAATACCTTGTCAACATAAGAGTTATAAGTAAGTATAAATCAATAAAAAATACTTTGTATGACATTTGGCAATGTAAGAGTTACCAAAGTTTGTTTATTACTGCATGTTCTTTTTTATTACACGGCCCAATGTCGGTCACACATATTAATAACAACGTATTAACCAAACTGAATCGCCTGAAAGCCTTCTTCTGGCGACTCCTGGGTTAGGAACTCTCTTAAATATCGGCAGATTTGGCAGACTTTTTCTTTGCCTAAGAAGTTGCTAATATGCTTTTACTTGTAGTCCTAAAAGTAGGATTAAAGCGTGTCACTGAGATTTTGTTTCACTCTTCAGGATGAATTTCCTATTGTCAGAGGCTTGATAAATACGGGCACAGATCTTCAAAATGTTCAAGATGGATGTTAAATATTCACATTGTAATTGATGTGCCTACATTTTTTTTTTAAAACTACCAGTGTAAAAAAATATATACAATGCAAAATACTCTGGTTAAAGATGTTTCGGGACAAAGTATTATCTGAATATTGATCAACACAAATGAAAATCCTTATAAAAGATTCACTGAAGGGTCAACTGCAGAGCAGCTCCATACGACAGAAGGCAACCTGCAGCATGGGCACAACAAATGAAAAAGCTAATAGCAGCACAAAGAAGTTATCGTAACTTAAATACATTTTTGACCAAAAACAAATGTTTCTGACCCGTATTCACCGTGACACCCCGTCCCCAACAGACACACGAGCAAACGGAACAACAGAAACAGAGACAGACGGACGGACATGCTGTAACTGACACATCACAATCTCCAATGAGAACTTCTGAACCAGTGGGTGACTGTGTGTGAGCTTTGGAGATCATTGCAGATTGTGAAGTTTTTGTAAAGATGTGCGTACACCCTGTTCTACACAAGCAATGCTTTATTAATGCTTTACTTCATCTCATCAGGTCGCTTTCTAATGGCTGATTCCTATAAGGGCCATATTAAGCTCATTTCAGGATCAGTGTCTCTACTGGGACATGTCTCCATGCTTTAATGTTCAGAAAGCTCTTTATCTATTTCATACTGCCTGTGCTGCAGCACCTCTTTTCACCCTGTCTGAAACCAGAGCCCAGTACTTGAGCATAATCGTACATAAAGATTAGACTTATGTTATTAGTATTAATGTATTTGTAGAATTAGTGGTTGTTAACTTAAATTGTTTGACTCACGTAAACATTTCAATAACTTCACACTGTTGTTAAGTCAGGAGATTGATAGATTTGTTATCAAACTAATCTGCTTCAGTATTCATTCTTTGGCATTAAGCCTTCCAAAAACATTATTTTCCCTGTGGTCCCAATGTAAGCCCATTAAATCACACGGATCATTTAAATAACAATCAGATTCTTTAGAAACCAAAGTTTAAGATTATACGCAAACATAATGCTTTTATTTAAAAAATAATAAGAATTATATCAATTTAAATAATGATTTCTGATTTATCAATATTAGTATCTGCCACAAAACCCAGTATCGGGTTTTAAAGGTCCCATGTCATGGCCATTTCTACTGATCATAATTCCATTGTTGAGGTCTACTAGAATAGATTTAAATTGTTCAATATTTCCAAACTCACATTGGTTTTTCATACAGCATCTCTGTATAGTATGTGTATTCACTCTCTGTCCTAAACGGCTCCTGCCCCCCCCAAGTTTTAACATTTCCCCAGACCAAACAAATCCTGGATTTCAGTTTTCCTTTATAAGTCTCTGATCTTAACCTGCTGCTCACTGCATTAGATCCACACTCGTGATCCCGCTCTATCCGACTTTAAAATTAGATTGAAGTCTATTCTACTCTTGAGTTTCTTTAACTTGAGAACACAATTATGAGGCTGACCTGTGAGCTTGCTGGGAAGCCAGGGTGTACGACGGCTTTAAAAAAAACACCAGTGACCTTTATCATCATCATCAGCGACATTTTAAATCTTTACTTTACCCAACGACACGGTCAGAATGGAGCATGCTCTACGGTGGAGACAGCACGGGAAGAAGAGAGGGAGATGACAATTATCTGTTCAGTGAACCAATCAGCATTTACACAGAATCACCAGGACAACGAGGAGAGGAGGAGAGGAAATAAGGAAAGGAGACACTAACATCAGGGTAGGAGACTGATGACGTATTAATGTTATTGTTGTGGAAATGTAAATGTTGAGTCTGGTGATATTCTGTCGGCGTTACAGCGTTGGTATGGGTGGAAATGTTTCTAAATCTAAGTGAATGTACTTTTATATCACAATATTGTAATGGTCTACAAATTACATTTCAAAGTGTTTTATAATACTATACTTCATCACATGTTATTATTTTTTGCATCACTTACTTCAAACCAGTAAAACAAAAAATGAATAAATGTATGAGGTGTAAGGTACCTTAGAACAAAAATGTAGTTTCTTGTTTTAGGGTTAACAGTTTATATTAATGCTGGCGTGATATTTGAAAATCAAGCAGCATAACAATAAACATTGTTTGTATCATCTTTCCCTTCAAAAAGCTGACACACAGTGTCAAAATAAACTGCAGTGCAATAATCTTGTAATCGTGTAACAAGAGCTCTTCCTCATCTTGACTTTATAGTGTCACTCTTCTCCTCCATGTTTCCCTAATTGTGTTGCTTTGCACTGCAGCTGGATATGCAATATTGTAAAATCTTGCAAAAATCACAAGTCCCGTAATAATAGGTGCAATGATGGAAACCTCTACTTGTGGACGCATTTCTAACTTTGGTTTAACCTCGTCAGCATGTGCACAGTCTCGCAACTTTGAAAGAGGCAGTCACAAACGTTACTGATGTGTACTTGACGGCTAAATGAAGGTCAATTTCAAAGATGGCCATGCATCGTAGCACTACTCTTTGGGCAATCTGAGCCACTTTCTGACATTGACCTTTACAAACAATTAATTTAAAAGTCATGCATTGTTATTGACAAACAATCATATGTCAATATTTTTCTTACATCCCTAATCACCAGACTCACACTTTAACATATACATGTAAACATTAGTGTTTCCTACCCTGAGTGAGGCTAGCTAAAGACACAAAGTGTATAATACAACCTACTATAGAAGAAAAGAATACCTGTGATTATCATGAGAGAAGAGGTGAAGAGACAGACTGACAGACTTTCTGGGTTAATAGGAAAACGTTATTATTCTGAGTAACATGCTGACACATCACAGCAGGTCCTCACCACAACAAGGGGGTGCTGGAGTCTGTTTCATACTTAGACAGACAGACACAGAGACACAGACAGACACACAGACAGACATAGAGACAGGCAGGCCTACCTGTGGTGGATGGGGGGGTGGGCGAGGAGGGGCATGTGGGAGGTGAACTGGCTCCAGAACCTAAAGAGAGAAAGAATAAAAAAAAACACAAATTATTATATTTAGCAAAAATCTGAATAAAAAAAAAAGAACAAATTGCGTGCACAGATAAATGATATTAAGGTCACAGTGTGTTGACACTGAATGTAACTTTGTTTATAGGAAAACTACAAAGGATCCCTTCAATCTACAGATAAAGCTTTAACGTGACAGATCAAGAGACAGACAATGGATAACTATCCACATTTCAATCCATGACGAGGTTTGTGCAGACGGTAAACACCAATTATTACAAGCCTTAGGTCAATATTCTAATCTGATTGGTCAATTCAGACATTCAATAGGTCTGTTATTTTTTTACAACAGGCGCTGCTAAGGAGAACAGAACGTGCTTAGGAGGATAAAGAGACTATGTGCAGTCATATCAATCCGCAGAAAGGAGTGCAGACAATTTAAAGTCAGCTGTGGACAACAAACATTAGTTTCATCTGTCAGAAAGCACTGTGGAATACTTTTGTTTATATTTGTAGAGAGCATGAAACTTTGGATTCTTAACTGTCCCCAGTCAAGAAAAGAAAAACAGTGCAAGGGAAGGAAAGAGAGCGCTGGAAGTCGGAGAAATCAACAGAAGAAGAAGACAGAAGGGAAGTAAACGGTAACAGAAACACGGTATGGGCTCTGGCAATGTTTAAAAACTGGTTCATGGAAAAGCAAATGTGAACAGACTTGGACAGTTACAGAAAACCTCGATCAGTGCCGCCGTCATTTTACGTTAGTGCAGTACCAGCCGTTGGCAGTGAAACAGACCATTTTTATCTTATCGGATGAAATATGATCATTTTTAATTAATATTAAATTAATTGTATTAATAATTAATAAAAGCATTTTGAAATCAATATTTTGAATCAAGTTGTTGACTTATTTAGTATGACGTCGTGTGGACATTTGTGTCCACTAAAGCAGGGGTTCCCAACCTTTATTGTGCCAAGGACCGGCAGATACATTAAAAAAAATCCGCGGACCGGTTGTCAATTTTAACTGATTTGAATATTTACTCACCAGCAGGTGGCAACAGAGGCTAATTGTATTGCAGCCTGCAGTGGGGAACACAGTGAAGGCGGTGTGTACGCGCTGGTGCTGCACTTCTCAGAGGCTGCCTCCTGATGCTGCAGCCATTTCATGAAGTGAAGGAGGCTTTACAAATAAAAAAATAGCTCTACACCCCTGGCCGCAATGTCCTTAAAATGAAGTCCGAGTTCTAAATATATCTCAAATAATGTATGCACTGCCATTCCCCCACATAAACATAACAGTCTGCGATTAAACGGTTGTCTCCTGTGTGCTCCACTTCCTATTGGCGCACCACCTGTAACTTTCTCTGCGCACGAGAGACCTTATGCTAACCAATTTTGATTTTATTTTGTATGTTTTGGGATGAAATGATATGACTATAAATATAAAAATAAAAAATATTTAAAAATTTTTGATAAAATATTTTTATATATTTATAATTCTGCAAATATTACGATAAACTCACAGCTATTTTGCAGCCCGGCAGTAACACCTCCGCGGACCGGGGGTTGGGGACCCCTGCACTAAAGGACATCCAAGCACCTTAAAAACCTAAACATAAATTGAGTATTTGTTGAGTTTAGTAACAGCAGTGACCTACCAGAGTTATTGTTGTTTCTGACAGAGACGTCTTCTTCATTTTCAAAAGCCGACTGTCGTGACTTCTGCGAATAAGAAAAAAAAAACATTACATTTCACTTTTCATTTAACATCACTAACAAGCACCATTTCCACTTCCCCAAAGTACAACCACTAAACTCTAACATAAAATGCATGTTTTTCATTTCTAAAGTTGAAACAGGTTCCGGTAGGTTTCTGAAAAAAGAAAACAACATATCCCATGGTTCTTAGCACCAGAGTCACTGTAAAGATTATTTGTAGCTGTTGTATTGTTTGTGTGGATGGTCAGATGTTATTCTATTGTGCAGTTGGTGCTACATTTTGTTGCCTACCTTCCTCGCCAGAATCTTCCTCCTCTTCTTCTCCTCCTCTGAGCCGTGGTGAGACTTCGCTCGGGTCAGCCTTCTGTGTTGGTGGCACTTCAAATACAAATATGATAACATTATTGAGGGCCACATACAGAAAAGCATACAAAGGTCTGGGCCCCTCACTAGAGCTGAGGTGTATTGCCTCATAAGTGAAGTTATGAGTTAGCAAAATCAATCAAATGTTGGTACATTATGCTTGATACTTGAATCTGCTTTGAGAATACAAACAGCCTACATCACAGCTCTCCGTAGGGTTTCACTTATTCATTATAATATATATTATAATGAGTAGTGTACCTTACAGTCCCAAATGTGCACAATGTAGTGACTGCTTTTCATCTTTTGTTTACTTAGTTGTGTTCTTTGTATTTTATATGTCTGTGTTATGTGTAACGTTGCTGCATTCTTGGCCACGTCAGCATTGTATATGAGATTTTATCTCAATGCTTTTATCTGGTTAAATTAAAAAAATGCAAGTGTGGGCAGCTCATTCCTTAAAACATAAGCCTCAGAAGTTATTGGCTTTTTTTCTCAACTAAGATTTGTTTGAAAATGTTCTCTTATTAAGTGGGCTAATTAGCACATGAACACTACTGTGCAATATATGTTTAGAAATGTATTTAAGGAGTACAATGTAAGAAAAGATTACTTTTTTAACAGGCTGCAGTTGGCCCTTGGGCCGTAGTTTGGACACCCGTGCTGAGGACAAACAATCTTTTAGGAAGGACTGGGCATATTTTGTTTTATAAAAAGGAACATAAAGATGGTCACTATGTCAATATAGTATAAATTATTTTTGGAATTAAATTAATTCAATATTCTGAAGGAAACCTTGTATACTGTATGCACGAACAAGTTCTGAGAAATGATATCAGTTTATTTTTAGGAGCAGGGGTAACAAGCCTTGTGTGTCAGAATGTAATTTAACTTTAGAAAATATGAAATGGCTGCATGAAGTCACTTTGTATTTTTTACATAGAAAATGTTCCACTAGCTATAACAGGAAGTTCATCTTGAAATAATCCTCATTAATGTCAGTAGAGTTTTTGTTTTTGCAACATGAAAAGGTTGTGGGAAATGATATTGCAATGTTTTTCCACAGTCTTTAATGTCACATGAGCCCTCAGGCATCGTTCCCACCTTATCTCAAAGGTCACCGATTTATTTAAAATATAGAGATTTGACATGAAGGACACAACCTCCAAAATGTCTCCAGTGAAGCTGCATAGCCATATAAAAGGAGCAGAGGGAAAATAAATAAACAAATGAATGAGAGACGAACCACTCTCTGCTCCTCCTGCAGCCTCCTCTCCAGACTCTCCTTCGCCGTCTTCAGCGCCTCTTTTAGCCTGCTGGGAACCTGAAGGGGGGGGGGGTCAGAGATCATCTTCATCTTTGTTGTTTTAATCACAGGGAATATTGATTAAAAAACAAGATAAGGTGAGAAAACTATGCTTACATAAACGAACCAGAAGATAATAATAATAAATAATAATAAATGAAATAAAACAACTAAATAGATAAGAATAAATATATATATAAGGAAATATTAAAACACCAGGTTGCTTAAGCATTTCTTATCTGCAAACCTTGAAACCTGAGGGAGAGCTGTTTAGTGATATCTGAATACATTTGGGAATTAAATAAATGCAATATCCTGAAGGAAACCTTGTGTATGCATGGACAAACTCTCAGAGATCAAACTGAGCCCCTCACCTTGATCTGGAGTTTTTCTGAGTGTTGGAGCTGGACGTCACTGAACAGCCTGCAAAATATATAAATTGTGACTCAAAAGCAGCCAAAAGGAAAATATGATACAGTTCCTTTTCATTTCATAGTACACATTCCAGATATGTGTTTGTCTTAAAGAGACCCTATCTGGCTTTGAGGGTTCTCCCTTTCCTGTAGTGTGTTATAAAGGTTTTTGTGCATGTAAATGGTCTGCAAAGGCTAACATCCCCTGTGTTGGATCAAGATGTTGTTTACACTGATACTAACTTGTTTCCCCGAGCAGATCTGTAAACATGTAGTTGATTCGTGTAAATAAAATAGGCTGACAGACTGTATGTGTGTTATTACTCAACAAGAAAGTCAACATGTGAGTAGACTGATAACATGTGGACTCACGGTGTCTGCATGAGCGCCGACAATGTTGGCATCCCGCTCTTACAGGCCTCTGCGGACAGAATGGACTGCAGCACTGACACTGAACACACACACACAGAAAATAAATCAACAAAGCACAATAGTTCAATGGGCCATTGGAGTAAACTATGGTTCAGGTTTAAATGTCAGGAGGAACACATTGACATGTGACAGCATCTGTGTGTGTGTGTGTGTGTGTGTGTTTAAATACTCACCCACAGCAGTGTAGGGGACATCGGGGTATTGTTCGACGGGGACGCTGTCCGGCGGTCGGCCGTACGTCATCTCGTAGAGTAAATGTCCAAAGCAGAAGACGTCGATGCTCTCTGTGGTCTGCAGACACACACACACAAACACACACACACTAAGTATGATGCTACATTACAGGATCACTTGGCTCATGTAGATTTGTGCCATGTTGTTTATAGAAAAGCGGGCTCATTTATCAATATTTCTTTCCTCTCCATTTATCACCTTCAAATATATATATATTTTTTAAATCGTGTCAGACAATAAAAGAATATAATGGTTGGCTAATAATCATCTAATTAAATCAACAATTACAAGCCAAGTGAAGGAGAGATTTTGTATGTGTGTTACTTTGATGGGAATGATTTTATGTTATGTAATCCCATAAGAAAAAAGCAGAGTAGGTTTTTTTTTTAACTACACAAAAAAATGATGGAATACTCTTGCAAAAGTTATCTTTACTTATTCTCTAATAATTTTTAGTTTTCATGGTCTTTGTTTTTAATTTTAGTCATCTACTGTCTTGTCCTTGCCTAATATTATTGTCTGTTTGTTTGTTAAATGTATTGCATTTGAATTGTCTTTGCTCTTATTACAATTATTAATAAGGATAGGTTTCTAAAACAAAAATCCCCATGTATTAAAATGTTCAATATGTATTGTACGTACATTGATTTTCCTGAGCTGGATGAAGGCCGGTCGCAGCGCTGAGGGAACTCCCAGCATGCCGTTCTCCACATCCATCAGTCGACACACACCGTCATCCACAATTACGTTGGACGTGTGCAGGTGTCCGAAAAACAGGCCGCCATCGTGGAGGAGCTTCAGACCCTGACCCACAAATACAGTTACTTTTTAATAATGAAAAACACTTTAGGTGTGTGTATGTGTGTGTGAGTGAGTGAGTGAGTGAGTGAGTGAGTGAGTGAGTGAGTGAGTGAGTGAGTGAGTGAGTGAGTGAGTGAGTGAGTGAGTGAGTGTGTGCGTGTGTGTGTGTGTGTGTGTGTGTGTGTGTGTGTGTGTGTGTGTGTGTGTGTGTGTGTGTGTGTGTGTGTGTGTGTGTGTGTGTGTGTGTGTGTGTGTGTGTTTGTGTGTGTGTATGTTGTGTGTGTGTTTTGTGTGTTGTGTGTGTGTGTTTTTGTGTGTGTGGTGTGTGTGTGTGTGTTTGTGTTTGTGTGTGTGTGTGTTTGTGTGTGTGTTTGAGAG